AGGCCAGTGCTACTGGACTTGCTCCCCCCCCCGCTCCAACCCCTCAGTCCCTGCTGGCATGGTGGCACTCTGCTGTGTGCACCTGTCTGTGCTGAGCAGTGATTGCCTACTGAGACAACCAGTCAGAATGCAAGTACAGCATTACAGAAGGACGGACAGACAGACAGACAAAGGTTTTTATTATATTAGAATATTAACTAAAGGGAAGGACTTTGAGTGAAGTGTTTGTGTAAACTCATCCCCCAAACTGTTAATATTTTTTGGTCAGATTTTAAAAAATAATGACCCCCGCACAGAAGTGAACCCTGAAAAACTTCAGCTCAGAAGGTAGAGAGAGAGAGGGGGAATGAAAGTATTGCTGGAGCCTTATCTTTCATTATGGCATGTTGTAAGTGTGATTTGTTCACTAAAGACCCTTTGGTGAAAGGTTTTGCCTTGACTGCATCATTGTGAATAGTTTAGAAGCAAAGTCCTTCCAATAACTAGAAGGTTAACTTGTCAGTGGTTCTGTTTGTTCCCTGGCCATTATTGTCACCTTTTGATCTTTACAAGAAGCAATGGGCATATCTAGCCATATGACCTGAAAACTGATGACTTGTGTTCTATGACTGACTTGACATGTCCACCTTGTTCTTTTATGTAGGACTTTTTGTCTGTTCATCATAAAGGCTAGGTCCAGTAAGAACATAAGACATGCCATACAGGGTCAGTCCAATGGTCTGTCTAGCCCATCTCTGACAGTGGCAGTGGTAGATGCTATAGAGGGAGTACATTGAACCAGGTATCTCCAGAATGATCTAGCCTCCTATTCAGTACTCTTCCAGGTATCCACCATTTACTGGGTTAAGGATGTCACAGGAAACCTCTCCAGCCATTCTGTTCAATAGTCATTAATAGATATAATAATAATAATAATAATAATAATAATATTGCATAAATTTATCCAATACCATTTTTAATCTGGCTATGCTGTCTGTCTTCACCCCATTCTGTGGCAGTAAATTCCACAAGTTAACTACATATTATGTAAAAAAGTACTTGCTCTTTAGTTTTAAGTGCCATCTACTAATTTCAGCAGGTGCTCCCTAGTTCTAAGGTTTTGGGACTTGATAAACAACAGTTCCCTGTTCACTTGTGTTGGAGCCAAGAGCCCCGGTGTCACGCTGGGGCCAAGTACGGACCGAACAGGTGGGATTAGCGGCGAGGAGTCAGAGTGGGCGGGACGCGTGCGGTTTCAAAACAAGGCTTTTATTCTGGTTCTTACTTACGCTACGAGATGGAGATGTAGCGTAGGTCAGTTCAGCTTGGTTACAATCAATCGAGAACGGTAACGAGAGACACGGAACGATGTACGATGAACGAGGCCGATCGGTAACGGTGATGTGAACGAGTAAACCGGAACGTAGACGAACGAGGTAATCGAAGACATGAAGCGAGTGGCCGAAAACGTGGAGCGAGTAAACTGGAACATAGACGAACGAGGTAATTGAAGACATGAAGCGAGTGGCCGAAAACGTGGAGCGAGTTAACCAGAACGTAGAATCAAGTAATCGGATCGAAGATGTGAAACAAGTAACTGAAAGAACGAGCAATCAATCGAGAAACCGAATAACCGAGACGAAGAAGAGCGCGGGGAGACCAATGGCTCTTTTGAACCAGGATCCTAGGCCTGAGACAGTCTCCACAGTAGCGGTCTCTGCTCAGGTCGGTTCCGCACTGGTCTGGTCTCCCACTGGTCTGGTCTCCCCCTGTGGGCGGAAACTTACTGGCCTTAAGTATGTTTTAGGTGGCCAATCGCACGGCTTCCCCTATGGAAGTTTCTAGTTCAATTACATCATGCTGGAACAGGACTGGGCATGCATCTGGTGTCAATTCAGATTACCTCATTTCAAATTTACATAGGGGTCAAGCATAGGACATGTTCCAGGCATGCGTACTGATCTCTTGGGGTTTTTCCGTTGACATGTCCATACATGTTAAGCTTACCCCAGTGTTAGCCAGCGCTTCTCATAGATTTTGGTTCTGACAACTTGATCCATACTGTTTATGATTGTATAGATCTCTGTCACATCTACCTGTCAGCCTTCTCCTTTCCAAACTGAAGAGTCCTAGCCGTTATAGTCTTTCCTGGTATGGTAATTTCTCCATGCCCCTGCTCATTTTTGTTAGCCCTCTGTGTACCTTTTCTAATTCTACAATGCCTTTTTTGTTATGTGGGAGCCAGAACAACGTATGGTATTCAAGATGTGGGTGCACCATGGATTTGTACAGTGGCATGATGATGCTCTCTGTCTTGTTTTTAGTTTCCTTCTTAATGATGCCCAATATTTTATTGGCTTTTTTGGTTGCCACTACACACTGAGCTGACATTTTAAAATAATTATCTACAGTGACTCTAAGGTCTCTTTCCTGAGCCATAATAGCTAGTTCAGAACCCATCATCATGTATGTATAGTTAAGATTATTTTTCCCCAGGTGTGTTACCTTGCAATTGTTGACATTTGAAGTGCATCTGCCTTTTTTTGCCCACTCAACTTGGGGAGATCTTTCTGCAGCATTTTTTTCTATCAGCTTGGACTTAACTATCTGGAATAATTTGGTATCATTTCAACTTAGAGATTTCACTGTGAACCTCCATTTCTAGGTCATTGATGAAAATGTTGAGCAAAATAGGGCCCAGCATAGATCCCTGAGGGACCCCTCTTTTGATCTACCTCCTTCCTGAAAGGTGACCATTTAACCCTGTACTTTGCTTCCAGTCTTTTAACTAGCTCTCAGTCCATAAAAGAACCTTCCCTCCAATCCCATGGCAATACAGTTTTTAAAACCTTTGTTGAGGGACCTTGTTAAATGCTTTTTGGAAATACAAATATATTATGTCAATGGGTTCTCCCTTGCCCACATTCTTGTACACACCATCAGAGAACTCCAGCAAGTTGGTGAGGCAGGATTCCCGTTTATAAAAAACATGTAGACTCTTTCCCAGCAGATCATATTTGTCTGTGTGACTGCTGAGTATATTCTTTATTATAGTTCTATCAACTTGCCAGAGATGGAAGGGAGACTCATTGGTCTGTAGTTCCCAGGATCGCCTCCGGAGCCCTATCAGAAGATGAGTATTGTGTTGGGAACCTGCCAGTAATGGTCCTAGATACTTATTAGTATTCAGTTTATCAATTTGTTTCAAAACTTCCTCTATTGTTACTTCAAAGCAGTCTAGTAGGATGTACGGAGTGGGCCAAATTCAATTTGGATTTGGCCTGAATTGAGAACAGCGATTTGATTCATTGATTTGGATCACTGTCTCCGATCCTATTTGGCTGAATCTGAATCTGAAGATTTGATTTGAAGAATCAGTGATTCAGCCATAGACACAGCTTTAAATGTTTTTTCTACATAGCTTGAGGTACTAGGAATGGCTCGTGAATGCTGTGATGCTGGGGTGGATGGAGCATCCCACAGGAGTGTGGGGGGAGCCCCCACATGCTTGGTGGCAAACCTGGAAGTGGACTGGAAGTACTTCCAGTCCACTTCCAGGTCTGCCACAAATCATGGAGAGGGCAGCCCTGCATCCCCCCTGTTCGCCGATTGGCTGTGGGGGGACCCCAGGTGCCCCCCCAGACCCAGGAGGCACCAGTCACCAGGGGAGGGGGGGTCCCCTCCATACTCCCCGGTGGACCTGGAAGTGGACCGGAAGTGGTTCTGGTCCATTTCTGAGTCTTTTGGGGAGCCCCCCACGCTCCTGTAAGATTCTCCATCTGCCTCACCATCACAGCGTTCACTAGCCACCTAGTACCTTGGGGTATGTAGGAAAAAAAATTAAAGCTGTGTCTATATCCAAATTGCCCAATCTTTCTGAATTTCTCCAAATCGATTTGGAGAGATTAAAGGGTCTCCTGATTCAATTCAGATTCAGAGATTTGGGCACAGAATCGTGACGAATCTCTGCTAAATCGAATCGGGGACCGAAGCTTTGCGCAGCCCTACAGTGTAGCTCTTCAGACCCATCTACTATGTCCAGCCTTTCTTGCTTTACATGCTCTCCAACTAGTCATCTTGCTCACTAAGTTTGGGAGAGTCCAATGTGAAAATGTAAGAATTAGCTTATTCATATCTCTTGGTCAAAATTAAAGTGGAGGGAATTAGTGTCGTGACAGAAACCCAAACGTAGGGACTTGAAGGAATTGTTCTTTCCCAAAACTTAAAATACAGGAGGATCTTTATTTTCGTGTAAACATAACTTTTCTGTAAAATTGGGTTCATGATTTGTTTCTTAGGTGAATCTCTCAACAATAAAAATGAGGAAACTTCTAATTTATATGTAATACATCACAATTTATGTTTAAACCAAGGGACATCAGAACTGGCAGGGTCTGGGATTGATGAGCATAACGGTTACTAGCCACCCACAGGAAGGATGGGATAGTTTTGATTCCCTCAGGTTAAATTGTTTGCATCTGTGGTCTTTAATTACACCTGCTGTTACCATAGTTTCTTACAGACCAAGGCCAAAGGGACCATTAGATCATCCTGTCTATTTTGCTGGAAATCATAGGCCATTAAATTTCACTAAGATACCCTATATTACATCCAAAGCCTTCGGATAGATTAAAGTGTTTCTGTTCTCTAGAGGCTATGCTTTGTACCACCGACACTGAACAGGAAGCACTTTATCACCTGTGTTGCCCCTTTCTTTCTCTTCCTCTCTTTAAGAATTATTATCACGCTTCAAATGCAGCAAGATGAAATCTTGGTGAACATTTTATTCTCTCAAGAGAGAGAAGGTTTATTGCACTATGGAAAAAAATATAGCATTAGCACTGAGATGGCCATGGTTATGAAAACTGCATTTTTATTCAGTTTTGGAAACAAAAAAACATTTAAACAGTTTGTTTTATGAAGCACCTCTGTTGTTCAGGCAGGAAAAGCATTATAGCATGGGGGAAATACCTGTATGTGTGTGTCCCTGAAGCATTTAGATGCCTTTGTTTACCTTCTAGGATAATGCGGGACCAGCCAGATGTAGTCCTGGGGGTGGCCCATACCGTTGTAAAAAGAATGTCTTCGTTTGTGAGGCAAATTGACTTTGCTCTGGATTGGATGGAAGTCGAAGCTGGACGAGCTGTTTACAGGTGAGATATAAGCAAAGTGGGTGTAATGATGTTCCTAGTACTTTTTTGTAGTATAATAGCCAGAACTCCACCTGACTCTCATTGCACAGAAAGCCAAGCACTACTTGTTCACATGAGCAAATGCATGGAAAATCTCAATCTTGGAAGGGCTAAGGTGGTGAGATTTTTGGAAACATTTGCTGAGCTTAAACCCCACTAACTCTTCATGTGGATTGTTCAATCACAGGCAGGGCGACAAGTCTGATTGTACGTACATTGTGCTGAATGGTCGACTTCGCTCTGTTATCAGGCTGGATGATGGGAAAAAACATCTGACTGGTGAATATGGGCGAGGAGACCTAATCGGAGTGGTAAGAATGAGCTTCAAATCTATTTTTCGGCTTTATTGAAAAATTATAGCTTCAAATGAAATAAAGTGGATAGCTTTTGTTCTGACAACTTAACTGGTCTTGGCTTATGAAAGTGTGCCCATCAGCTGCTCAAAAGTGAAGAATCTACTTTTGCTAGGAAGCTCTGTAGCAGGATAGTACACATGTAGAATGGTTAGGATTTTTTCTAGTTTGTTGCAATACTGTTGTTTTTGTGAGGAATTCAGCATGTGTGTGCATGGTTAAGTAACCTTTTCAAATTGGTGTAACAGTGGTGCTCAACACTTTTGGCCCACAGGCCAGTCTGTGGATTGGATCCAGCTGGTGAACCCAATCCATCCTATTGAGTGGGCACTGTGGGCCTGCATCTGGCTGTGTGGAGAGGGGTAGGGGTCTGGGGTGGCAGTATTAATTGTCACTGCTCCTCTGCCACCAAATTTCCCAACCCATGGGGAGCCCTGTGAGCCAGATGCCAAGGCTCCATGGGCTGGATTTGACCCATGGGCTGGGGCTGAGCACTCCTGGCATGTTGTATCAAACTAAGCATTGTCATTCTAAACAATAGGGTATACCTGTATCAGACTTCTCTCCTCCGATCCTCTCTGTTGCTTCCCCTTAGGACCTAGCATAATACCAGAATACAGCTCTGCATTGTGGCTGCAAAGGCAGTTTGCTTTTCTAGCTTCAAACAAGGAGAGCTCTGAAATGCTGAGGCTGCAACTCAAACCCTGTCCTGTTTTCTCTGGTTATTGAGGGCTAACAGATCTACCTATAAATAGATGTACTATGCTGACATACCTTTGGGAAGAGTACTAAGTGTGAACTCTTTTGAGAGACAGCATGATCAAAAGATATTACAGCATATTATTTTGTGCTAGTTACAAGACTTAATTGCAACAAAGGGAACATGAAAACAAACATCTTAATGAAAATTACCCAGTCAGTGCAGGTGCTTTGTAGCTCTTATTACAAAAACAAGCTAAAAATGCATCTATTTAAGCTCATTCTATTCTAGATATACAGGTTTCCCTCACATTGTTGTACATGCGTTCCTAGAAAATGGCACAAAGTTGCATAAAGTCCTGGAAAATAACTCAAAGTTGCATAAAGGGAACCCACTTTACAATGTAACAAATAGGGATCCATTCCAAGACCTCAACTGTACTGACCCCCAGACCCATTTCTACCACTTTTACAAGACAATTTTGGTTTACTCGCCAACAGCAGACAGTACACACAAGCACAGGGTGGTGGTGAATGTTACCATAACGGGGATGGCAACTACAGAAACGTGTGTCGCACACAATGAGCAAGGAGCACAGATCCACACAGGAGACTATATTTTGGTGCATGTCTCTCCCACAATGCACCGCATAAAGCAGCTGACTCTGGGCTTCCACCACACTGATCACATAAGAGTGAATTTACCTTGCTTATAATGAATTCTTGGTATAAAAAGGGTCATTGCATAAGAGTGAATTCACACTTACAGAACCTGCATAAAGTGAGAGAAACCTGTATATGGCTCAGAGGCACAGATTCTACAAATTGCCCGGTGTTTCTGAGGAGCATAGAAAAAAGACTTTGCATTATAAGGGTTTGTGACCATGTCCATCCAGTCAGATGGGTGGAGAATTGGCTTATGGGATGCACCCAGAGGGTGGTGGTAGATGGGTCATTTTCAGCCTGGAAAAATGTGGGTAGTGGAGTTCCCAAAGGTTTGGTCCTTGGACCAGTGCTGTTCAATATCTTCATCAGTGACTTGGATGAGGGCATGAAAAGCACTCCGTCCAAATTCACAGACGACACCAAATGATGGGGCAAAGTAAACACATTGGAGAGCAGGGAGCAGGTTTGGGTGGATTTGGACAGACTGGGAAAGTGAGCAGAACAGAATAGGATGCAGTTTAACAAAGATAAGTGCAAAGTGCTCTACCTAGGGAAAAAGAATCACCAACACACCTACAGGCTGGGAGGTGACTTCCTAAGCAGCACAGCAGCAGAAGGGGATCTCAGAGTCATAGTCAACTCCAAAACAAACATGAGTCGTCAATGTGACAAAGTGATAAATAAAGCCAACCGCACTCTTTCATGCATTAAAAGGTGCATCACAAACAGGTCCAGGGAGGTGATACTTCCCCTCTATGCGACATTGGTAAAACCACAGCTGGAGTACTGCATCCAGTTCTGGGCACCACACTTCAAGAGGGATGTAGATAACTTTGAGAGGATTCAGAGGAGGGTTACTTGTATGGTTAAGGGCCTGCAGGTAAGATCCTATGAGGAGAGATTGAGGGCAAAAGAAGGCTGAGAAGGGATCTTGTGGCCATCTACAAATTCATTGGCGGGGGGTAGGAGGCGGGGCGGGGGGCAGCAAGGAATGGGAAATACTCTGTTTACCAGGGTGCCCCTTGGGGTTACTAGGAACAATGGCCATAAACTGACAGAGCAGATTTAGATTAGACATTAGGAAAAATGTCTTTACAGTAAGGGTTGCCAAAATTGGAATGGGCTTCCAAGGGAGGTGGTGCTCTCCCTTACCTTGGAGGTCTTTAAAAGGAGACTAGACAAGTACCTAGCTGGGATCATCTGACCCCAGCGCTCTTTCCTGCCCAGGGCAGGGGGGTTGGACTCAATCTACTGAGGTCCCTTCCGACTCTAACGCCTATGAAATCTATCTCTGAAATCTGTGTTATCACGTTCCCCTTTCCTCTGTCCTCTGTCTTCTACATCTGCAGTAGACACTTGAATGGCTTGTTATTGGGACAGTGGGACAGCACCAGTAGAAGCACAAATAGTGCAAAGTAACTGGTTGCGATTTTTCCCTGTGTCTGCACTTGTACTATCGTTGTTGGGCCTGTTGCACTTACCTGTGGGATCCTCAGAGAGAAGTTGGCTTAGCCCACTGAAACATTACATCTTCTGGGATATGTGAAAACCATCACAGCAGAAGCCAGGCTTTGATTATTCTCCACGTAACTACCATTTCCTAGATTTTGTCTTTATGTGGAAGCCAAGATGAATCTTCACCTTTTGCACATAGCTCAGCATAAAAAGCTCTTTACTGGAGACTTTGAGAAGCTGCCATGGGACATCTGAGGCAGCTACCATGGGGTGGTGGATCTATGCAATATGTATGAACTCCCAAAGACTGAGAAAAGTTGATCAAAATCTTGTTACATTCTAACCTTAGGAGCAGTTGCCTCCAGGCCAGGGGTGGGAATTATTTGGGCCCACGGGCCACATAGGGAGTTGTGTTGAGGTGTTGCGGGTTTGGTCAGCACCCCCACATCCCCACACCCCGCCCTGTGCAACAACTCGCCAAAACTCCCTATGTAGGATGGGGCTGTGGGCAGACTGGCAGCAGTGTTCAGGAATGGGAGGCCAAGATCATGGGATGGGGTCATGAGGTAGTGACAGCGCAAGGTTAGGGCCTAAGGCAAAGCTGCAATCTGCTGCTCGCACACCCCTGCGCTGGGTGTGGGTTCCACGGGCAGAGGTGTGCAGGGAACAGATCGTGGCTCTGCCCCAGCCCAGCCCTGCACTGTCACAGCCCCAAGATCCCAGGGTCTCCATGGAGACCGGCCAGGAGCCACATGGACAGGGCTTTCTGATCGTGTCCACCTGGCAGAGCGCTCTGCCCGAATAGCTCCCAGCCGGACTCCGTGGAGATCATGGTATCTTGGGGCAGTGACGATGCAGGGCTGAGGCACAGCCCTGGTTCAGCGGGCAGAGACATGCACTGAGCACATTGTGGCTTTGCCCTCGCCCTGTGTTGTCACCACCCCAAGATCCCGGGGTTTCCCCACCCCTGCCTGCCCACCCTGCTCCCTAACACAGCTCCTCACTGGCCCACAGCTCCATCTCAACTGTCTGGCCAAATGCCCTGCCTGCATGTGTCTTGCCCCTGGCAGTGGGTGCAGGGCAGTGGGTGCTTGGGCAGAAGGTCTGGGTCTGGCAGCAGTGACAGCTGGAAGGAGCTTTCGTCACTGCCAGGGCTGCTGGAAAATGGAGTCTGGACAAGGCAGCACCAAGGGCCTCATTGTGGGCCAGGCAAAATTGCTCTGCAGCCTGGATCTGGCCCACAAGACCTATTTTGCTTACCTCTGCTCCAGGCAGTACTTGAGGGTGACTTAATTGGAGAACAGTGCACTTTTGACTGAAGGAACTACATTGAAGAAGACATTTCACATCCCAGTGTGTTAGTGTTTTGATTCAAGTTCTCTTTCTGTTGAGAAGGCTGTCATATCAACCCCCAAGCCCCTCCCTTAGAAGGCTGTAATAAAGCATATGCTTATCTTCCTCTTCATCTTGGACATGGTAAAAACCTCATAGCTCAGAAACAATCAAGATTGAGGTCCTTGACTGATTGTACTGGCACAAGGTCTTTGATCTCATGAATAAGTCTTCATCAGATGCAACAGGTGCTACAAAATTAGGAACAGGTTAAATGTATTTTCCTCTTCCTTCCAGCACTTGTGGTCTGGAGGGCTGAACATCAAGCTTGTGGCATATGCAGTGCTCCCAAGGTAAAAAACGGAGTTGATTTCCAGCTTCTTGAAAATAGAGTGAAAAGGGAATGGATACCTTACACCTTGGAAGTGTTCTTCCCATACATTGAACAGGACCAGTTTTGGCATAATATTTCACACTGGCTCAATTATTTGCTTGTCTTGTTAGAAGGGAAGGGAGGTGATTGTAGTGGATGATCCTGCATGTATTTATTGTAATAGTGCCAAGATTTCCAAGCGCCTAGGCATAGCTAAAGACGCATTTTTATCCAAATTGCAAGTCATTTTTCTGGATCCATTTTGTGCCATGAATCATTCAAGGACTTTTGGGACTTTGTGGATGTCATCGACTTCTTTCTGCCCACACTTTTCAGAAGCCACTGACTCATGTTGCCATTTGTTGAATGAGGCTTGATGCTCTGACCATCTTTATAAATCTTCCCCCAGCTTTTTCGATGGAGCACCAAGCAT